TCCTTGTGTTTAAAAATATTGATATTACAAGAGAAACGTTCATTGTGTTGTAATAATGTAAGGTCGTGTTACGAGTTATTAATAATATTAAATAGTACTTATGCGGTAGAGTGTAAACGGATAATCATTGAATTACTAGATTTAACCCGTGACTCCGTCCACGCGGAATTAAAGAAACTAAGTAATTAGACAGAGTTCTATATGTGCAAAATTTTATCTAGATCCGTTCAGTAGTTTAGGCTACACCCTAACAAACATCCATCCATCCAAACCTTAGATATTAATGAGATTAAGAATGGCTAAATAATTCAAATAGAATATATAAAAAAAAATTAAATGATATCTATGTCAAAAAATGCCAACCTATTAAAATAATTAAACAAAAACCACATACATATTCTTTGAGTGTTAGAGACAGTCTGTGTCATTAAATCACATATGTCTTTGTTTCGAATTGATCTACTGTTGATATTAATTACTCTGTGGGCGTGGGTGCGAGAGTCAAGGGCAATCGTGCTTATTCTTTCAAAGAACTATTTGAAAGTATAAGTACAAATTCGTTATAACGCCTAATTTGTTTGACTTCGGTACTTTGTTCTCTATAACATATATTCTTTATAGCGTCGTTCTCAGTTAAAGACAATAATTCGTATATTAAATGCTAACTTTATTGAATCATTTGCTGTTGCTCGCGACTTCGTTGTCATGCATAAAAATATATCCTATGTTACTCACTGATAATGTAGCTTTTTATTGGTGAAGGAATTTTTAATATAGGCCCAGTAGTTTTTAAGTTATTTCAATACATACAAAAATACAAATCTTACCTCTTTATAACAGTATAGGTTGTCTTACTGGTTGTATTACTGTTCTAGATATGTCTAGAACTGTGTCTTAACTTGCTCTGCTTTTGGTAGCACGACCCTGAATGTAAACGAAATGGACAATTTTCTCATGAGATTTTACAACTTGAATACTAAACATAAGTGTATATACTCTTGCAATGTTAAAGCACGATTATAGGGTTGCCACATTAAATACTAAATTATTTTTGTATAATTGTATAATTTTGTGCATTTATTTTTCATACGAAATTCAACTTATTTCAATTAAAATAAAATTTGACTTGTGAAAACACTTATTCCAGAGAACCCTACCAAAAGGGTACTGAGTAAGGTTTTTATAAAGTTGGCGTCGTTCCAATGGCTCCTATGTAAACTGTCGTAAGTCACAATTTTGCAATTCCTACATTGTTTTTTATTTCGATAAATGCTATTTTCTGTGTAAATTTCAAAGTAACTGTAAGTAATATGTAATACTTTTAATTGTCTATGAAATATTTGATGAATCATAATTTAATTGATTTATGTTAGTAATGTGTTAAAAAAATTTAATTTGAGTTTAAAATATACGATATTCTAGAGTCTTTTCTTAGCTAAAAGTTTTTTAGTCAGCCCTAAGTCAAGCTAAACCTGTCCTATCCAGTCGGTATTTCAAGTCACCTTCACTTTTAAACTATACGCCTTAGCTATTATAGAGTGGTGCTACGTTTAGTCACGATTCTCCTTTGTCTGACGGCCTCGTACGCTTGTTCTGCTGACTGTACTGCTCTGTGGCTGTCCTTTTATAAAGCAACTACTCTATGGTACAGCTGTGCCTGTAACATTTATGATTTTGTTGTCTTGAAGTGGTTTTATAATTCTGTTAGTTACACCGGTAGAGGTAGACCTAGAAAGAGGATGAGGAGGAAGGGAGTGATGACTGAGATGACGTATCATACAGTAATGCAGAGGACAAAAACCTATTGCGCCGACCTTACGGTAGTAGGATAAGTAGGATGATGATGAGTTTCGTGGTACACGCCCATTATACTCTACAATATTGTGGGGATTATTCCTTAAAAATGTTAGGGTAGTGCGGTTTTGACTTTGTATTTTAAACAATTAATATAATTGTGAAAAGCTATATTAATTCAAACACTCCACTAGAGAACTCGTCATGAATGCGCCCGAATATTCCAATGACATTGACAGCTGTCAGCTAGGGACGTGACGTTTATACCGACAAGCTAGTGTTGCGCCAATACTACAGTACGGTACTAATTTTCTTCTTAACGGTAGATATCACAGGAAAATCGAAAAGCACTATGGAGATAGACGGAAAAGAGAACCTAGAACTCATAGATTAGTTAAACCATTGTACCAACGATGCTACTTTTTGTCTATATGTGAAATCCTTTGAAGTGTACGTATGGTAATGATTGCTTCAAACATAATGAATCACAATTACATACATTAAGCTATATTAATATTACAGCAATCATGTTCTTGCATTAACAAATGAACGTTTCTAAATATGTTTTAAGCTGTGTTTACACTGCGGAACTTCTTAACAAAGTCCTCATACATTCTCCTACAATTTTTGGGCAAAGGAGCCACAGATTTTGGTAAAATAGCGAAGTGATTGCCCATAGACATCCGTAATTAGTAATTACAGATGCGTTACCTTTCATCAACAGAGGAAGGGACGCGCAGAAAGAGAATATACCCCTTACACCTATGCATCCCATACCCTGTCAAGTACACTTCCCTTTCTAATTTTTGTACAAAAAGTGTGGAAAGAAAACTATCATTAGATCTCCGGTACGCAACATGTTTCTATGCAGTATTTGTAGTGGAAATTGGTTTTAAAATCTTTTTATATAACTTGCACGTGTAAGATGTGTATATGTTAAATACTAGCTGTTGCTTGTGACTTTGTCTACGTGGAATTAAAAAATAGATACCCTGTATTACTCAGATAACGTAGCATTTAACGATAAAAGAATTTTTGAAATCGGCCCTGTAGTTTTTGAGTTATTTCAAAACATACAAAAATCATAAAATACAAATCTTTCCTCTTCATAATAGTATATATACTTTTTGTTATAACAATACATTGATGTTCTTAACACCTGACGTAAGCATACGATATTTTTTTTTCTACAATTCTATATTGTTTAACTTTTTAAACGGTAGCTTTGCAAGACGAAACAAGTCCAAACCGGGGCTGTAATGAATTATTAATAATGCGCCTGCGCACGGCTTTGTAGGCATTTCGAAGAACCTATTGTGTGGCACTTTCTGAGAACTATACCATACCATACCATGTATTCAAATGAAACACCCTGTAAGGTGTGTAAACGCACTGGATACATAAAAACATATATTACGTTTGTAGGCATGTTATGAGGGGAAGATGAATCACATGTGACAAGAAGAAAGTTATTAGTATGGCTCACCGGTAGAGGTAGACCTAGAAAGAGATGGATGGATTGTGTGAAAGGTGACATGATGAAGGGGGTGATGAGTGAGATGACGGATGGTTGTTATATGGAGGACAAAAACTAATCGCGGGAACCCTACGGGAATAGGATAAGGAAGAGATGACGTTTGTAAATGTATAGTCTTTGTAAGCCTTTGACCATGATGTCTGGTTCTGAATATAAACAATTTCATTACAAACACGTGAAGAATTGTTGTTTATACGTTATCCGTTCTAAGATAATATTGTTACAAACACCCTGTGGTGTACAGTATGCCCTCATATACGGATGTTGACAACAGACGGTTCATTTGAAATACGGGAATTTTAAAACAGTTTAAAATCCCATGCGTTTTTTGAGGAACGAAGATACAAAAAAACATCATACAAGTATTATGGATGTTTGTTAAAGTTTGTTGCTTAACGGCTGAACGGATTTCGATGAAGTTTGGTTTTGGTTTGGATTGCCTGGAAGAACACATAGGCTACTCGTTTTCGTTTTTTTTATTCCATGTGGACGGAGTCGCGGGCGAAAGCTAGAATGTTATAAATGCGATAGCTTAGATGGATGGATGTTTGTTACATTTTGTATCCTTAACGGCTGAACGTATTTCGATGAAATTTGGTTGTGATGCTGAAGAACACATAGGCTACTCACTTTTTTTTTTAAATTCCATAAGGACGGAATCGCGGGCGAAAGCTAGTTACTACATATTTTAATTAAATGAGAAAAAAACCTGGTTTACATATATTGAAGGCATTTGACGTAGAAAAACGATAGCTGAATCGCTGAGCAAAATGACTACAAGGTTAACCTCTTGTACACTTATGCGGAACTAAAAGTTAATCTCTAGTTAATTACATACGGTCGAACACAGGATGTGGAAGTAATGTAGTCTATTTTCTCGTTTTTTGTACGAGTACGTTTTTTTTACAATTATGTAGAACCTTTAGAAATATATTGGTTTTTATTCGCATACTAGCTGTTCCCGTGCGACTTCATCCGCATGGAATTATGAAAATTTTATTTTATTGTTTACATTTGTTAAATTTTCAGTTACAAATGTCAAAATAACATAACATGATGACAACCTTGCTTCCTTGATGTGGGCAGCAACTTATGGTCTCTTTCCCACATTAGGGTTTTTATCCAAAATATATACCCTCTAAGTTTAAGACGTTAAAAAATATGGCCTAAAGCGTGACGCTAGTGTAGGGCTTTAGAGTAAAAAAAAATACTTAAAAATATGCTGTAATTGCTAACATCTTAAGCAACAAAGAAGTGTGTGTTTACGCTTTATTATAACAGTATAGAAGTATAGATAATTTTATTTTAAACATGACAATAAGAATTATCCAATACTCGAGAATGTATGTCATGATGGAACCAATTGGAGATCCATGGTCTCTACCTACCCCTCGGGGTTACTGTCGTTACGTTGTTGTATAGCCAATAATTATTTATTTGTAATGAATATAACTACGTTATATTTACGATATAAAGTTATTGTTACCTTTTAAGGGATAATTACGAGTTATTTGTATTAAAATGTACGAGTATGTACGGAGTAAATAACATAAGCATTTATTTAAATCACACATATACAAACACGTTTAGTTAACTATTCTACTATCAAACAGCATAGATTTAATATCATATAATTTTATTTTATTTTATATATAATTTTGTTTGTCAGGTCAGTCGCCATGTTGCAGCAGATTCTGCGCGACATGTGGGTGGACCCGGAGATCCTCGCGGAATTAGATGAGACGCAGAAACAAACGCTCTTCTGCAAGATGCGCGAGGAACAGGTAATATATAATTTTAGTATATATAT